AGCAGTGGGTCTTTCTACATCAAGCTACGGGACCAGTGGGTGCTAGAAGCCCTCATAGGAGCCCTTAAGTTCTCGTACAATACCAATTTATGCACGTAACGCAGAGGCGTGTGTGTGTGTGTATGAATAACGAAATTAGAGCAAGCTTGCAGCGTAGATGGCTCTATAAAAAACGTACCTAATATACGACAATGGAACCGAATGCCAAATCATTTGGCGAAAAAAAAACCATTCGCCAATTGTGTAACCGAATTAGGCAACAAAGCACATGGAATGGTATAAAGGCAATAAAATAGCAGATGCAGCAGCCGATGAAAAATTAAGCAAAAATTAAGTTTTCTTGAAGGGGGTCAGTTTTCGAGAAAGTGAACCCGATTTGAACAGTGCGAGATAAATTTAAAACCTCTGGCGAAGGCACCAAAAAGCAGGAATGTACTGTCTACATCACCGTGGCAGTTAACGAAGTCCTGTTTAAAATGTGGGCGTTGGTGTGGGACAAATCAGGATGCACGGAAACAAGAAAGCCTGCACCAAATTAGAATACGAGGGAACCTATCTACAGAGTTTGATAGTAAGAAATTAAGGGCTCCGTTCGAGTGACATGTTCAGTTAATTAAAGAGTTTGATTGACTAGATTAATAATGCCAGCCCTTAAAAGTAGATCAAAACAGTGACAATGAAGCTAGGTCAAAAGTTCTACACATTATGTCGGTAAATTTGAAACCCAAATAGGCTTTGATGGGAAGGGACGACAAGGAATGAATACAGTAGAAATCAATACATACTTGGAATGAGCAGACGAGGGACTCGTCTACAGACATCAGCGCCCCCGCGTTATCGAATTCGCCACAATAATTTGGCGCTGAAAATAGAGTCACAAGTTGCCGCTTAGCAAAGAATTCATAACCATCCTCCACAACCTACAAATTAATAAACACGAAAAAGTTGACCAACACTGTGAAGTGTCGAGATTTCTTCATCTTAAAAATAAGCACATCATCAATGTAGTTGAGCATTTGTCAAAAGATGAGACAATGAAACGAAGTTGTTTGACCGCGACAGTTCAACTGAGCAGAGTGACAGCACTAAGGTTTAGGTTCCGTTCCAAGTTTGACTAGATATTTAGTATGGTTACTTGTCTGCTTAAGAGTGCATCGACATAAGCCCTTTGACATGCTATTTGCCCAAAAACAATAAGGCCACGACTGCTAGTGATTCATTTGTGGCCGCGTGGTTGCCAAGTCCAACATGTAATATTTGGAGGCAAATAAATCGATCGATTGAACTTGACAAATGGCTGGATTCATCAAATAATCTTATCACTATATGCTTAAAATAGCTGAACATTTTCAAAGCGATAAATTGAAGGGTAAAATTGCGATACGATGTATCAACGTGCCATAATTTAATGTAGAATTGCGAAAAATGAAACGTCGCCGATAGAACATAGCCAAAATTTCGGACATGAAAGAAGCTATTGGTGAGCTAAAGGATGGATGTCGACATCAGTCCTAATAATGAGGAATAAGCGAAAAGCGAAAAATCGAAGCTGACCGAACCTTACTTTGAATTCGTTAAGACATTAAGATGAGAATAGTAATTCCGATGAAATATAACGTGAGACGAGACAAAGTAATACAAGGACGGAGAAATGTATAAGAAATCCGGAACACTTTTGAACTTGAAAAATTTCTTTCCAATAGAGAATAATTATATAGCTACTAAGGCTGCAAGGGAAACATGGCACCACTAAGAAACTTTTAAACCAAACATGAAGTGTTAACATCCGGAACTGATTAGGCATAAACAGGCTTTTTAATCAACGAGAAGAAACCATGAAAAAAAACTAAGGTGAATTTGGGAAATAAGCCAGTTCGATTACCACACGCGTGCACACACACACACGAAACTAGGTGACGGGGTATCAATAAGCAAGGCTATTTCGGAAATATCGGTCTCCAAAGCAAGTGGTTCATAGTACTACAATTGTTATTTATTCGTAATCCATATGGGTTAAAATTGGTCTGGCAGTTTTTGGTTCTACTAAGTGAAAGTGGAGCAATCTCACCAACTCAAGGAGAAGCAGACGGCACCCATCATGACAGATTTCATGCTTATGATGTTCCTCCGACCAGGAGGAGATAACTACGCTTAGTGTTACCAAGGTGAACATTAGGTCTTGAGGCTGAGCTGCACAACTCCACAGGAGACTATGGCCCATACCAGTAAGCAACCCCACAGACTATACAAGAACCTCACTCGAATAGATTACCGAATTCTTTACAGCAGATCTAGTAAGACGGAATATCAATACTCAGGAAAGGATCATAGCAGAGCAATCAGGAGGTCGTAGTAGATAAGCCAGTGTCATGGCAAATCAAAGTCTAAAAAAGTGCAACAAAGAGAAAAAGGCTGCAATTCAATCCTAATTTTGTGCTGGTGCTAGCAGGCAAGGGCAAAAGCGCACCCGATAAACAGGAATTACACACCACTTACAGATTCAATAATGACCAACGCCATCATTTATTTAGTGGAGATTCTTGAAAGGAAATTTGGCCTTAGGTTTTAAAATAAAATTCACTTTCTTACAAAAAACAGCACAAAAGCACTGGATGATCGATAGCACAACACAGACATTACCTGCAACAGTGTTACACTGCAACCGGCTAAATATCGCGAGGGCATTCTTATTAGAATTGGGCCCGATTGTTCTTAGCCTTAAAAGCGTGCTTGGAGCGCATTTGCGAAAGCCAATGCGAAATAAGGAGTCAATAGAAATAAGAAAAAAAGATCCCGAAATAAGGACATCATTAAATTGAAAATAATTATTGGTTTAAAATACGGTGGTTAGCAACAATGAAAAAATTTAGGAACCGTGAACGTTAGAATTTATCAACGACTTTTATGTTGTGCAACCACTTAAATAAACAGCCCTCAGATACTTGAATCCACAGCTTCGTCCTACTAAGATGATCCAACGTAAATGTTTCAGCGAAGAGAAGCATAATTTTAAAAATTTTCCGGTGAAAAAACTAGTATTAGCGAAGATTTCACAAAATTCGAGGACACCAAAGGCCGCCACAGAGGCGATTTTTCGAGGTTTTATGAAATAAAGGCGCATATCCACAGGAAAAAAAGTCGACATAACGAAACATTAAAAAGCATTGTTCGACTGAGTCGAACAAAAATAACTGCAAACTAATATGAACCACCAGTAAGGAAGGTTTCTCGGATTTCTACAAAGACAAATAAAGTGAAAGTATTACGTAGATTTTGACCACCAAAATGCTGTGTTTACGTACTAAACAAAAGTAAACGATCGAAATTTTTAAAAAAATGCAATGATTAAACAACCAGGTATCCCCGCTCTAAAAGAACGATCACGTAGGGTGAATATTTCCAGTTTAAAGAGACTAAAATACACGAACAATGGTAAATCATGCATCAACTCCAGACGTCGAGTTTGCGGGCGTCGAGAACTTCAGTTAGTAAAATGTCATTTCGAAGGCGATTGATATCGAGATTGTAACTTTTAAGCACCAGTGGGCTAATGAGACTCACTATCGTCCTTTAAACGCGCTCATTTTAAGGATCGGCGCTACACAGAACCTTTTCAAAAAGTAGTAGTGTGCATGCCAGCTTTTACCAGGTTATTCACAAATGAGATTTTACTGATTGACGGGTGTAAATACGAATCGAATCAGAAGCGTCACGCTTAACCCACTTGTTAGGGCTAATTAAGGAAACATCTTGGTTGTTTTCAAACTAAAACACTTAGATGGTTTTATCCGATTTAACCACTAAGATACTACAATTCACGTTAGAAAACATTCTAAATATCTTCTACGGTGAGTAGTGGCATAAAAATAAACAGTGGAACATGACATAGATTTTACCAGCAAGACTGTCACTATTAAAACACAAGCTTTTATAAAACTGGCTTGACTTTCGACAGATTTCGGTAGGACTTCTTATAAAACTCAAATCTTTGACTACCTATATGCGACTGGTTGATTAACGGCCCCATATTCAGAAAATTTGTGATATCTGCAGTGGTTTTGGGTAGTGTTATCACCTACTTTGAACACGCATGCAAATTGCTTTCATGAAGCCCACAAACAGGTATGTAAAAAATTAGAAGATACAGAAACGTTATGGGAACTATAGAATTGTATGAATTAAAAAATTCATACAATCGCTAAACATAATCAAACGTTCCGATAATCAATAAGCTTCTAATAAAGTATCCCGTATCAAGTAATTGTTAACATGAACTGTCCATCAAGTTGGTCCTTTTGTCGGCCAAATGGATTGTGTGGAAGCTATAATTGTAGTTTTACGTGATGCAACGTGACGTAAAACACGGCGACGTTGGGAAATTGTGCTTGAGATAGACGCATTAGGCATCTGCGGCAAACCAAGCTACGCAAACGAAATTCGAGTACGAAGAGAAGTGGTTTCCGAAGAGGAGTAATATTAAAGCTCAGAGATGCCTTGAGCCATTAAACTGTAACATAAGACAATTGCCAAGCCTACCTTAAGAAAGCAACAGAAGCCTATATTACCCAAATTCGTGTAGGAATTATTCCCCCACAGAAATGTGTCTATCACCACGGGTTTTCCACAGGAACAAACCACAGTCTATACTTAAACAGAGATGTATACCTTATTTTGTCTGTGTAGATGTGTGGGAATTTCTAGCACGATTAGTATGGATGTAAAATCATTAGGCGCTTAAAGTTAGCGAACAAATAAAAAATGAGTGATGAAAAAGACGCTGTTCATTGATATAAGATTAAAAAACTACAACGCACAATAGAAGATTTACTGGGGTAAAGGGATTTACGTCGTCTTGAGTGGACTCAATGTGGTAAGTAAATTAGATTTAACCTTCTAAGGCTGAAAAGTGTAAGCCATAAGAGTTAGCATCAACGTAGTTGAGTGTAAATGACCAATTTGTAACATGGTTTATGACTAACAAGCACACGACCGATAGGACAAATTACCACTGAGCGCCCAGTTACAACAGACATTTAATGAAACCAATCAGCATGGAATATTGTCCCATCTAATTCTAGTCACAACCTCATTCGAAATGAGATTGTTTCATTAATTGGAGGAGGGATGGTTAGCGATTATAACTGAAAAAGCTCTGAATATTTGAGATTTACAGTGCATCGAGATTTACAGTAGAAAAGTTAATAAATTAACAAATTAAATGAAAGGTGAACAGTTAGGGACAACATCTGTGACAAGGTGAATCTACTAATTAGGGAAAAGCTTGCGTTGGAGCAAAATCACACGAAATTGCATAATTTGGCTATTTGCAGTACTAACCAAGCGCCAGGTTATAAATCCAGGCTATCCAGTAGGCAGTGTGGTTTTAAAACAGATTCCAGAAGCTACAACTATTGAAGGGACACTGAAGGGTACGCGATAAACAAATACTTTGGGATAACGGAAAATGTATGACCAACATAAAGAGAGGAAGAAAAGCAAGCAACAAACACACTAGGATTTACTACTGCGCGCAGAAAATTGATGCCTATACATATATTAGGCCTCAGATATACACTGTGCAGATTGAGCTTAGAGTGGACTTGATTATACTTAAAATGACTTAAACACTAGGGAACGGCAATTGAACAAAGAACACTGGCACAAGTGTAAATGAAGACAGACAATTCTATAAATTCATCCACAGAAGCAAAAATTGCTAAAACGATGTGTTTTGAAGATAGAAAGAGACATTAAAGAATCAAAGCCGTGAACTGCTATTGAAGGAAGAATAACGAGAAATATTGGGAACTGAAAAGTGAAAGCCATAAGTAAATACAATAGCGAATGCATGTACTTACTTGGTGCGCACGACAAATCAAGTCAAAGTCATGTTTAGCAAGGAACCTTGAAACAATGTCTGCGCCAAATGTGTAGCTAACACCCCGATCGTTTTCGCCCCACGAGTTTACATCTTTATCAGGATCAGACCAGAGTAGATCACAAAGTAACCCTTGATCTGGTACATCAGTTGGTCTGGCGATTTTACGAATCTGGTCCATACTGTGTAAATCAGGAGATAATCCTTTATACAAAGTATTAAATACATATATTTTCGTACCCCCATGACAGCAAAAAATTTTTTCATCTATAATGGCAGCTAGAGGAAGACAGTTGAAGCAGTCAGTAAAGATCTTCCATAACTTTATATTGTATCGTCGCTTGCCTAAGAGATTCACGGTTATACAAATAGCTTACATTCATCATAGAAACCGTAAATACGATTTATAGATGCACACTCGTGGTTGCCTCTCAGTAGAAAGAAGTTTTCGGGAAATTTGATCTTGTAAGCCAAAAGCAGACAAATTGTTTCAAGAGACTGCTTTCCACGATCGACATAGTCACCAAGAAAGAGATAGTTAGCTGCAGGCGGGAAACCACCGTATTCAAAAAGACGAAGGAGATCATAGTATTGTCCATGAACATCTCCACAAATTTTAACTGGCGCTTCAAGTTCCAGCAGCGCGCCCTGCTGCAAGAATATCTCCCGTGCCTTAAAAGCAAGAGCCCGAACTTCTGATTCAGAGAGCTGAACAGATTTTCCAGGCCTCAGACCACGAACTGATAAAGAACAATATCAAATGACGAAAAATAAAAACCTTCAAGAAGTTTTGTAATAACACCATCAATGTTTAGCCGGTCAACATCCGCCATAATGATGATGCAAAGTAAAATAACGGATAGAAACACGAAAACGCTAAATAGCTTTAGTTGACTGATTTGACCTTGACACGTCAGGTTTTGTGAGATTAAACAAATATGGTGCTGAAAATACCATTTTGTAACACACTGCATTTAAATTATTGAGGGCATAAAAAATTAAAAATTTGAATTTATATACATTTTATGCTCTTTTTTAAATGAAAACCAAAAAAAATTTGAGGAAAACTTCAAAAACAATCATTGTATTATTTCTTGCGTTAACGAAAACTAAAAGCTAATTGGAGTTAATTCTATATTCTCGAAATTTTCGCACATGGATACACAAACACATAAGCATCGTATAATTTATTACAAAATTCCATGTCACATTCGTATCATCACTATCATCATTGCTTTCATAAATGTTGCGTTTCGTGGTCAGCGTGCATATAATCTGGTAATCTCGGGTAAGTCTCTACGACGTGGGTTGCATTGCACATAAGGCCATAATTTGCGCTCTCAAATACGTAATAGGTTATGTATTTATATTAAGTGAATGCAAATGTTCCCTGATTTCAATAAAGCTAGTATTTGAAGCATATTTATCGCCTTGGCAAAAGTTGTCTAGTCGTGTGCACATTGGGGACTTCACTAAACTAGAATAAAAGTTGTTGCCTTGTATGATTTTATAAACATGTTATAATGACAAAATGCTGAAAATATTGAAAATGCGAGCAGTTGCTTCACTACATACTTTTTGCTCATTTTTTCCCAGTGTTGCCCCCTGATTTTTTTTACTGGTTGGTTTTTTGAAATGGAAAATTTAATGCTACCTTTTACCAGCAATCCCTTCAAAAACAAATAAAACTCGAAGAAAGATATTACAGATACGCACCACATAGTCATGATACCAGTACCGCAACGGTCGCATCAGTACGAAAAAACTAAATTCACTTCCCAAATTCTTTCTGTATAGCCACATTTAATCCCTATAAATTACTTTAATGTATGGCAACGCATCCTTCAGTCTTACATTCAAACTGCTAAAGCATAATGACTTCACAGTTTGCAAATCCACGCTATGACTCTGCGCTCCCACAAGCATATAGAGAAATACTTAATTAAGTAATGTATGAGCCGTAAGAGGACCATGGGACTGCTAAACTTAGAGACCCATCTTGTGGGTCCAATTCGGAGATTTGAATGATGTTCCCCCGATTTTCGAAGTAGCATCACGGAACGGCGACATTCAACCTAGGATCCAAATTTTACGAAAAATCAAATAATTATGATTTCTCATGGAACACAAAGACTCCAAAAATGTGTGCTTTAGTATCAAACTTTTAAACAAATCAGGGAAAAGCCATCCAGACTTTTGAAAAATACCGCACTTTTGCCATCGCAATGGTTTCGTGTTCTTGTTGACATTTAAAGTGACACTTTTAAAATTGATGCTCTTGGACGTCCGCAAACATTACGAAAAATATATTTCGATACACTTCACTTCAACAAAAAGATATTCTAGTTGGCTTGTAGCAGGAGCGCATTTTCATTTAAAGGTGTTAAAAAAATATAGGAAAATTTTTAAAATATCCATAAAAGCGAGAAAGAATTTTTCCCAGGTCATTCAGAGGCGATTTCTTGAACTAACAAACCTGAAAGAAGAAAACATAAATAAAAATGACATTCTACGGGTACTACCACCATATTCTGCTTACATACCACAAATTTTGGGTTTTAGTACTTATTCACGGGATTGTCCTTAAGGCACCAACCACAATCTATTATCTGCCCTGAAGTAGACAATGGTGTCAGAATTTATTTATCGTCTGAGCATCCACTGAAATAGTGGTACCAGAGTTTTGCTCAAAAAACCCTTTAAATGTTACTTTGTCTAAAGTCGCCAATTGAGGGTGGAATAAGGAAGAGAGCCCAGGACTACGCAACCGTGATCACTAACTAGGGTTTCTAGAGACAACAAGGAGAGCAATCAACTCTTAACTGCAGTACAGACACATAAAATTATTAATGATGACTTAAAACGTTTTCTGCTCTAGTTGTATCTAAAATGGCTAAAAATGGAAAAATAAAAAATCCCATCAATATTGGCGAACTATATGGCTTCTTGGCATTTTATAACCCACCCTGAACTAAGGATCCTGTGATTGTATAGGTTTCATCGCTATAAGTTATTTCCAAACTAGATCGTAAGTCTTGGGCAATGAGGAGTGATTTCTTAAGAACAGGCTTCTAATTCAGGTGTTCTGGATTTATGGAAACTCTCAAACCACGTACCGAAGATTGCTGGTAAAGAGTGGAAGGAAAGGGACGTTGGTTGCATTCATTATGCCAATGTGACTGTCCGCCAGAGCGTTCGCAACTCCAGCACCCTGAAGCGGACCAAAGTGGTTGGCAAAGGCCCGGAGACACGTGTGCCGATAGCTGAGAACAACAGTCGGAGTAATTAAGGGTTTATGGCTCGTATCCATCGTTGACACACCCATGTAATTTACAAGTTCAGTAGGCTGGTTAGATGATGACGACGGACGTTCACCACCAGTGGACAGAAGCAGAGGTGCGGACCTAGAAGCGTAGCCGACGACACAGTTAAAAAGAATGTCCTCCCCTGTGGCCAGAGTGTCGATGGTTTCGCGCAACTTCGCAGTCGTCAGCCTCCAGTAGAGGGTGTGATAATATCTAAAGCGAAAAAAAACAAGGGTGGAAAAAACCAAAACCGAAATTTCAATAACGAACTATGGACTTTTGCAAGGTGATGTCATCAGTAGTCTTCAGCCGGGCTACGGCTCATTTGTTTAAAAAAGCACAGAAGAAGTAACCTGGTACATGCACAAGTTGCAAATAAATGTGAACGTACACTGGAAATAAATTAATAAGTTAAAACGAGTTCATTTATGATGCGGAGCAAGAACATCTAGTCTGCAACAATCGCGATTAAAGATTATTACATTCTGACTACGAAGGTAAGAAGGGCAACAAGAAAATCGAAAAGATTTGTAGCTAGCCCATTGAATGGACACCGTAACTAGAGCATGGATTGAAAATAACTGTGCGCGCAACAGGCTTACGGTTAATAAAGAACAAAGGTGTCTCTACAAGCTCGGCGAAACTGGGTGAGGAGTGGGGGTAATCAAGCATGAAAATAAGATCATGTGAGAAGAATGTGAAGACAATTTCAATTTTTACGGGGCAGAGACGTTTACGTCACAATAAGCTGCATATCGGGCGCTAGCTGCACAAGTTAATAAAAATCGACAGTACCTCCAGTTGGGAAGCTTGAAAAGTGCATTCAAACACGCGGAAATTCACTGAAATAGGCACCCTGTCCTTTTTGTCTACGGTAAATCCGCGCTTATATTCTAGCGCATTTACACCAGGCACCTCGCCAAGTTCGTCAAATGTCGGCATAGGCTGGTGTCGTTTGGATCCCTCGAAATAGCACCCACGTCTTCAGTGACGAGTCTACTGCCCTAATTTACACACATAATTTAACTTCAATGACAGTGCCTTGAAGACGTACAATTATACTCCTGTCATTTTATCTACTCCGGTTTCATAAACGCGTGAACACGGAAAGTGACAAACTGTATGCAATAATGACATGGATTGTTAATGCGAAACACTGAACCAGACGACGGATCCTAAAAAGAGCCATTTAAGAATCTTTCACTACCCGGCTGACTGGTTAAATAAAATTTGAATGCAGCAATAATAAAGATTTCGTGGAAAAAGGGTCTAGTGAATGAAAAGTAAGGAGCGTAATGGCCTCGTGACATTGCATTAGTCTCTTCAGCACGTAAATTTTTTAAATAACACAAATGATGAGCCCACGCACACTAACTAAGTTCACGTGGTTACAGTTTAGTGGAACCAGCGGGGTCTTTGCTTAGAGTGTAGCGACTGACAACGGAAAGCGGTGTAAGAAAATGTATTCCGACTTCCCTGGCTTAAAACCTACGCCCACCATAGCAAGGCTGATAATCCAACACCCATGCAACACAGAATTCACCCCCACATTTTGAATAGTCTATGGTGGGCACTTGACTTTTAGCAATTCATTAGGTTATATAAACAAAGTGCAGTGGTACCGTAGTAACTATATTTGATTGAAGATACAAAAATCGACCGTTAATATTAATCTGACTGTAGTGGCATATTAAACAGTATAATCATTTGCAATACCAGCTGCAGTGGAGGTTTCAGTGTCACATTGTGTGAAGATAATGCACGAATGAAAGAAGTCGAAAAATTGAGACACCGAATAAAAGTGCGGGCAGCCGCTTTTGTTCTGACTCGGCTTTACGAAAATGGCAGTTATTGAGTGCTGCTGACTCACATTACGACAGAAGAAAGTGACTACTATTGCACATTTGGGTCGGCATTTGGAAATACAACATATGCCGAAATTTGGACCAAGCGTTGATAAATAAGACGGCATCGAAGTTTTGAGAAACCGCTTCATCAAAAAAAAACGGTCAAACGGGCAACTCTCTAGGCGTTAAATCAGCTAAATTGCACCGCTGTTCCTTTAGTTATGCAGAAACAGCGCCCAAACTCTTGCGAAAGTGAGTTTACGAGATACATATAAATTAAATGTTAGACTTTTTAAAACGCTATCAAGTTCAGCATCTATGTGGGTGACGAAAATGAACAAACATACCACGTTTACGAATCCAAACTTATCTTGACCTAACATCTAGAGGGTAGCCCTAGTTGGACAAGTGGCTTGAAGTTTGACGAAATGGGCCGCCAGAACTGTTTTATGCAATCGAGTTTAACAATATTTTTACAAGCAAGTAAAGGAATCGATGATTTTTGAATGAAGTCCATCCATGCTGAAGATGAAGTTTAAGCCAAAACCCAAAGCAGGCGCACCGCGAATCCTTGTAAACCACATGTTATTGAAACGAAATTGATCCTATGAATAACAAGTTTATGAGACTACATAGGAGCAATTTCAAGAACAAAGGATTATGGACTTCACGGGACTAAATAGAATTGACTTACCGATGATAAACGGCAGCATTAAGAAGGACCATGGAAAACCTTCCATATGCTGATGTGTCAACTGAGTAATTCCATGTAGCACTTTTGTTATCCCAGACGTGGAGACGCTCATGAAACCCAATTAGACGATGGGGGTGTTGTCGCCACAATGCATAAGCTGCATTGATCTACAGTGGGTGAGAATACGTGACAAGTAGATTTACAGACGTTTGGTTGCATCATTTATAAAAATTATTTAAAAGAACGAAAACAAATTTAAGCACATGCAGCAAGATATCAGAAGGTAGTACTTGCGATGGCAACAACAATCGTGACCGAAGAAACGTAATTCATTTATTTTTTTGAGCTCTAGTTTTACTACAGAATGTCCAGCTAGATAGCCTAGGCCAAGTGATCATCGCGAGTCCAGTCCTACCTGATGTAGTTCCAGTTCCTTGATGACATCTAATTCTACGCTCCAAATGGCAATGGTGGGGATATCCTTGTGGGAAGGACGAAAGCGATTTGAGGGGGAGGGCGGAACGAAGTCCAACGGAGCCATGTCGGGAGGGAGCGGTGCAAACGACACGGAAACAGGCAGACTGCCAAAAACCCTCATCGACAGCTTCTCGGAAGATGGTAGGGTGTCGCTGCACTGCCACACCAGGATTGCCTGAGATGAAAAAAATAGCTAAATTTAACTATACTGGTTGATTACAAATTCGTTTACGAAGTTGTCGGCCATTTCTCGAGCCACATTCAAATTCCCACAACCGAACAAACTAAACCCCAAATTGTCGAGAATTTAACGAAAAGCTTCTGTGGTAACATTTCACCAAATGATTGATGACAAAATATAACTATTTTGAGGGAATATTACCACGAATACTAATGTGTAAAAATAGTACTGAAAAGCACTATTACTAAGACTCACAAACTTTAATGCCGAAAGCCACTGTTATTGGCAGCTAAGCAATGAGGAAACACTAGAATGCTTCAAACCAGGCGGCGAATCTCTAAATGAATACTAAGCTTTGAAATTGAAAAGCAAATGACACACTAGCGAACCACGCAGCCAAAATAATCGTTAGAAAAATCAGGCGTTATAAAAACAGAGGTGACTGACTTCACCCACATATTTTGAATAGACTAAGAGTAATTAGGCGTGGGCACAGACTCCAGCTAGCAGAAAAGGACCAATAATCTACACAGTGCTGTTTTTGAAACATAACTACCAGCATCACAGACGATGATACACGCCAAAGGGTGCATGAATTAATAGGGAATTACATTACCAGTTATAGTAAACTTTTTTTATATTTTTCATTAAGAAGAAACCACTAGAGCATGCTTTGGGCAAATTCCGTTTAACATTTCTTACATGGCGAAGCGGAAAACATAGGACAAACTATACAATGTCAGTATTTTTGTAAGAGCAAACATAGTCGTAATGTAAGCAAGGAAGATGCATTAGCAGTGGTTTGCGAAATGTCCTAGTGACTTTTCACGTCAAGATAATGGACCCCAGTCATGTCACTGATTAAGAACAACTAAAAAAATAAGTAGTGGTCCGGTTTGAGGGATAGAAGGACTTGGGGAGACAACAAACAATTGGATTGTGAGTTGTTGACGAAAGAGCTGAACTGGTGCTGTCAGCGACACTGCGCCTATTGACGGCAGTAACGAATCAATGGCTAAGACAATGGTACTTGCAACACTACAGAACTGGGGCAAAATAAACTCAAAAGGATTTTAATCTCGACATCTCAAAGCTTTAGAACAGCAGTGACATAATTCAGATTTCCACAAGGCGTGCTACATGAGGATGAATTACAATGCTAAAGAGATGGGAAGCCGTCCGTCTAGACATTCCCATGCTAGTCTAGTTTAATAGGGCAGCACACCTTTTTAAGGTCATCGGATTGCGTAAAAACGGAGGCCAACGTTTTCAGACGCACTAAATAGTCCTTGCAGAAGGGTGGGCGAATTGTAACAATAAGAGTAAAACCCTTGTTGATTTCATCTAAAACGGAAAATTGCATAAGTCAAAACAGGTATGAGACAGCTTAGCATCTTACTATTTCACTGTGTCACGTCAGGAAAACAGCCACAACAACGTGGAGGTCTAAATCGGATACACTTGTTAAGAAATAGGTTAATTAAAGCAATCAAGTGCTAAACAGAGTATACAACTAAGAGTTATTAAGCAAAGAATGCGAATCACCAGGTGACCGGGGGGAGTTTGCTTGCAGAGCCTCCTGTGTAGTATGCGACGTGTGAACAAATGTAGTCAGGCGATACCAGCGTAAATTCACAATATAGTCAATTTTAAAACACAGGATGTCCCTAACCTTGACACTTTGGTGGTAGGTTTGGAGATGGGTATTCACAGTCGTTGATGGTAACTGTCTCAGAGAACACAACTCCTCCAGGCCTCCTGTTCCAGACACCGTAGTTTTTCTGGCGCAAGGTCAGGCGGTCACGAATGGACTAAAACCAAAAAAACCTAATATACAAAAATGAAAAACTACACTCATGTAGATAAGTGGTTTGCAATTCCGAATCTGCTCCTCAACCCCAGTCCAAGTTAAAATTTGCCTGGGCCTACTCTACTAGTTGAGGAAAGCACACGCAACATGCCAATATGCTGATTACAGAACGACTGGGAAACAAACCATCAGCTAAATAAGCCATGAAACCCCACGACACAGTAATAGTTTCGGGTAAAGCAAAATGAAAAAAGACCGGATCGAAAACCGCGTGACTTACCATCAAAGTCACTTGAACGATGGCTTCTATAGAGCGGAAATAACTGTCCCAAATAAAGCGAACTTGTTCTCGCATTCTGACAATTCGGCTATCGGGGAAGTTACGCAGTAACTCGGGCAGCCGAGACAGAGTTCGCTCATCGGCCAGGATGGCTGCCTGACTCCAGTCAATAACCTCCGAGAAAGGCAGCTCCCAATCGTTGGCCAATAAAACCGGGATACAGCCCGCCTCCAGCACCTCCAAAAAACTTAAGAAAGAAAATCACACATCGTTGGTTTGCTCATGATGCATATGCAATGACAAGGAAAAAAAAAGAAAATATCCACTGAAAAAAACCAATAGGAGGCAGTTTTTGGTCCAACAGAAAAGCAGTATTGCGCATATTTTTATAGTGGAGAAGATGCAAGCCTTGTCAACCACCATCAAAAGGACTGAAGTACACCGATTCCAGGGTAGACAGACACCAAAATCGAAACAACTGTCCTGGTCAGTTAGGGAACAACTCGTTTCATGCTTGTCGCTTATAGTGCCGATATTTATGCATGGGCTCAATACTGGCGTGGCACATACACTCCGGCGCATACAACTCGCCCTAATTACCCACCCCATCCCATCTCCTGCGCTGCCGGACGAAGCACAGCCCCAATCCCCGGTGGGCGAATGTTTGTGGCCGTTCGGCGATTTCGTGGCGCCCATCTACAGCACTTGCCCAGAGCACTCTTAATGCTGGCTCGGGTTAAATTACCCTAATCAGTTAAACAGGCCTAGGTTTCTTAAAAAATATAAGTAGACAAGACTATCAAGCGAAATGTTCGTACCGATAGGAACCGAGGCGACGGCCGCGAGGAACGAGGCAGAAGGTGGAATTGTGGAGCAAATTTTCGTATGAGACTCTAGTGAAGACATAACAACTATACCATAAGACTAAGATGACTAAGGTGCAAATAAATGACAATTTCGGTGTAAGGACACACACGAAGCTGTAAGTGAAGATGTTGTAGTCAGCGCTTACTAACTCGACGTAAACTAATGCAAATTTAATACATTAGAGGTTTTCATCATAGGCTAAGAAAAAAACGGAACTAATAGGCTGGAGTTGAGGTAAAAATTTATCAAAAAAGAAACACATACTTAACTTTAGCCCTTTTTGACGTGACCTAACCCAAAAAGCTCAGCCTTTTTCCCTGCAACCATGGCTGAAATTATTCGTTGAGTTCAGCTCCTAGAAGTCTAACAAAAGGAATGCTTTTCCTTCAAGGGCACGTCAATGGCTTATGTGGAGGCCAACACAACATGATTTTTGCCGGGAGTACGATTAGACAATACGCCACAGCTTTGTCTCGAACACATTTAAAACAGCTTTGTGACATTTTAGACGACCAAATACACAACCGATTCCTGTCGATGTTGATAGCAAAATGCATTCGATCCACGAACATTTTTGTACTAATATTTAAGCTTTGTGGGAATTTAATGGCAAGTCAAGTGCCGTGAATACTACAGACGAGTAAATACAACGTGGAAATCCCCAGGCATCATGGGAAAAGTGGCTTATTTGATGTCTTAAGAATATACAGATCCACTCAAATTTATCGCCACGTCTGTTGAGCTTCCAAATGTGCAGGTGAAGATAGTACGAAATCTTAAGCATATACCCAGCAAACTTGGTGTGGCACGGCAATATTCGCTGCATACTAACGGGCAGTGTTTAATTCTTCAAAGCAAGATACATAGTTTATTCCTTGAACTCAAAGAGTCAAAACCATGATCAGTGTTTACAACACTTCCATATGTTTTCATGGAGATACACTTTTACAGACGAGTCGAAAAGGTAAATGTCTACGTATTTACAAAAAAATTTGCCTAAAATTAGGGATTATTAGCAGGTGATGTCTTAATCATTTATGTAATCCAAACCTGTAAATTATTGTGGCTTAAAACAGTGCGGAAAAATTATTCAAAATGGAAGAATAACGAAGACAATCAGTAAGATGAATAACGTGTGCGTATTATCTGCTAATGACCAATTTAAATAGCGTACCAACGGAGTCAGTATGGTAAAGTAAGAGATAAATCCAGATTAACAGGTGAATTTTGCACACCAGCCAATGGGGGCATCGGTAGATAGAAAAAGGGAGAAAGGATCAGAATTTAAAGTAACCAGTCAGGGGTGGGTTCTAATTTGAAAGGATAATCTGTTAATAAATTGAACCTTTCACTTTATGCAACGCTGCCTTTAACACTTCCATTTGTTGGTCTTGTACCAAGGAAACATCTGAACGTCCACACTGTCCAAGCAACATTCTGAGCTCGTTCTTGAGGTTTCCACAAATTGGCATGTGATTTCTCACACAGAATCGTTGGTGTCAGGATAACCCGTAGTTGAAGCACCTTGGAATGTCTACCCATTCCTTCTTCTGAAGAAGGGGATAACATCTCGAAGCATCTTTGAGGCTTATTCACAACCCTTTCGATTTCTGCATGTTGGAACTTCTTTCACTAAACTGCAATCCACAAGATCACCTCCTCCTATTGCTGATTTCTGATTGTCTTCCTGTGGTAGCTGAGCTGTGTCGAGGGTGATTGTCGGCATTGCTACAAGAGCCCCAAGGGTCGGGGGTCTTGTTGACAAGTCCCCTCCACGCTTTTCTCCAAATCGGCGATATTTGAATTGACAGAAGCGTCAAAAACGAAAAAAGGCTCGTCTAATTCTAGACCCGCAATCGACATCTCCAGCGGGTACGGAGGTACAGATTCTGTACCAGTTTTGTTTCAAAATCTCCGACAGTCGGATCTCAATAATGTAACAGATTCGGAACATCCTCCAGTATAGTAATCTTCAAACAGCAAATGTATCTATCCATTTGATCATTCGTAATCTCTGGTTCAGATGTGTGATCACACTCAGGAGAATGCAGCTAGGCATGACGAGGTCCTCCGCATCCATAAATGGCACAACTGCGCAACGATCGATAGTCCTGAGCAGTATGGTCAGCTTTCAGTCAGCTTTGACAAAGCCTTGGCTCCTGAACCACCAATATTGTTTTCTTCATTTTGTAGGAAAACAACATCGTACATCTGTCTGTTTAGTGACACGTTCCGTAGAGAAGACAGCGAGGCAAAACCGAACGATCACGTTGGTGCAAATTGCTCGAGTTCAGTGCGCGCACTGATCCCTGACGTCTTGGTTGCTTGCACATTGTGTTAATAGCTATTTCACTTAACCAATAACTACCGATATTTGCACGTTCCTTCTCGGATCTTAATAAATCACTAGAGTGAAGTGTCTCCCTGTCTTTTGATTCTAAAACTCACTTTAGCTCATCGGAACTATAGTGGAATTGGCAGTCTTTTCGCATTCGCCTCGAGATGCCGGTACGAAATTTGTTCATACGCATAATTTAACTGAGATAGGATAAGTTTATGGGCTAACTTGACTAAACCGGGGATGTCGTCAGGTGTTAGGGACGGTCCATCAAGCAGTTTGTCCAAAAAGGCAACAGAAATTGTTGAATTTCGACCATACAGTTCGTGCAAAAGCGCCTTCACAACTTTCAAACCTGTTTTTTAATCTAAGTCATAAAGGGCTTCATAGCTGCCAGTTCCTTTCTCCGTTTAATGCTTGCCGATATTCCCATTGGCCGGAAGTGTGTAACATTTACATGCTAGTTCTCATTTAAATTTTGTTTTATTCCTGATTTGTACTACGCGCCGCCTACAATTTGACCACGAGACGAGCGATACTCACGTGAAACACTACTTGACATGACCAAAAGCGGATAGCTTTGTAAACGATAGCGACTTAAACTACAACAGACGAACTATAGAGAATAGAAGAATACCAAAGGCAATCCGGAACGTTGCACAACATGTACGTATTATCTGATAATTGTCAATTCGATTGATGTATTCCAACGTAACCAGTACAGTAAAATAAAGGATTTTACAGAACTAACATGACAAATGCTGCACACCCCATGAGGTGGCTAAACGTTAATGAAAAAAATGTCAAAAACGTGTATCTCTTACTGACAAACAACTTTGAATTTGTTCAAATTTATAGAAAAATTGGACGACGTACGTTTCGTAATATGCATTATCGGTGGCACAACGGGCGTCAGCATACAGGTTCCAGTTATGCATGTGCTTACAAGTCGTAGCCATGATAATATCCTTGCCGTTATGGATATGAAAGAGGGCATTCCGGGTCTCCGAACCTATACCGACTACATACCTTTTGCCCTAAAATGAGTGGAGACGAAACAGTCACGCAGTTTTAAGGCGTGAGTCCACATAAGTTATCGTAAGAGATGCGGTGACCTTCCGCCAAGTAAAGTTCAGGTATTACCTTTCCAATTGATTTTTTTATGAGTTTACTCAAACCAATTTACAATAAAATGTGCCAACTTAAAGGACAGCAAAATTGGTTAGTTTGATAGCGCTAATTACAAAAGAGTAGAGAAAGTACATTTATTGAGAGTATTAAAAATATTTTCCCCAGAAAACATCTAAAATAAGACAAGGGTTTAAATAACGAAGGGAACACGGACGCTAATGTTGTTAACAGGGCTCATTTGTTCATTTAGTAATGATCTGTGATTGGTTATAAAGGGACTAGATTAATTTGACCTACGTATTTGCGTGCCCTTGACTCACTCGATGCGGAACTAAATGAAATTAAAAGATACATACCTTGAAGCTAGTGAGTAAAGACAGTCGAATATAACCATTTTGCGTAGGCCGGAATCGCGGCGACTGGTCCCATTCAGGATAATTGGTGGTCACGAGAGGAAAGGATATATCAAACCCCAATCTCATACGGACTCGAGAGGCCGATGCACGGGCCAGCATGGCGCTCCCAACATCCATTCGCAGATCATCAACATCATAACTAGGCCAGCTCCCAGGAAAGAGGACAAAAAGTAGGTGGTTCTGACCTGGATGCGGCTTTTGGGTCGAGTTGTCTAATGACAATTAGAAATGACGAACCAAATCAAATTATAGAAAAGGGTTTTATGTTGAGATGGTAAATTAAAAGTGAATCATTATGCGTGGTGAATTGGTTGTGGTCATTGTAGGCTACTATGAACTAATAAATAATCCGAACAAATTAACATCGGTCAACACCAACAAAGCTGCTCTGGGTTTCCTTACAGATGATTTCTTCATGGGTTGCAAATAAACTGATTTAGGCCTTCGCCAAAATTCTGACCCGAGCCTGTGTGAAAAAAGCAGCAAAACAGTAGGAGTGCAAGAATTCATAAAGGTAAAGTATGCATTTGAAAGACAGTTAACTCCATAACAATACCAAGCAAATTTTTCGGTACATGTTAACAAATATCACAAGACAAACCTTTAGCTTGTTTAGCATAACGTGGTTGTATAGACCAGAATGGTAAATTATTCAAACGACTCTGAAGGTTATGAATAAATCGAGGGCTGCGTGGATCCCTATCAAGAGTATCAAGGCTTGGAACAAAGAGACAGGCTTCCTCTGGGTTCGGTGTATAAAATGGCGATTCCCGAATGGCAGTGAGTATTTTTCGATAGTTCGCGGAAGCCCTCGGGGCATCTGGGTCATCCGGATACACATAAACCTAAAGTGAACAAGTAAAAATTGAACAACTTTGAAAAATATAAATGATATCATGACGATGCATACCTTAAAACTGGTGCAACGTGCGCTGTCGAAGCAAATGTCCATTGTGCAATGTGAATTGAATTTATTGATGGGAGCTGTCGATTCATCACAGAGCAAAGAGTTTGAGATTTTAGGTTTCAAATGGGAAGAGATCTTGCCAAATAATAATATAAAGGGAGCGAAAGATAGAAGTAGCGAAGCAAAAATCACCGTGCGCGTTTTAGTGCTCACGATAAGCGCAAACGGTCTAAAATAGTGTTTCATATCCTAAAAGAAATAAAGCTAGACGTTAAAAGAGATTCCAGAGCAGTAAGGTAAATTACTCGAACAGCATAAGTAGAAGCAACTTATACAACATAGCTAAAAAACATTTACATTTGCACTAACGTGAACCTATACCTTACAACTGACATCTCCAGAATAACAAAAGGAGACCGAAAGTTTCCAATCAGAGTCAATTTTTCCACTTTTTCTACTAGCAAAATTCTAACTAATTATTATAATAAAAATCAAAAGATGTTGATTGAACCAAATAGCAAGATTTTTCATGCAATCGGTGTTAAATATAGACCAAATATGTCTTTACTAATACAAATACTGGACATTTTCAGGGGCTTCAAAGAGGCTATTCATGAGAAACATGTCCGCATAACTCACAGGTCAGCAAAAATACCGAAGTTTACACCCTCCAGAATAAATCGAATTGAATCAAAAGGATGATGCCAAAGCCCAGTTAATACCACAGAAACGCGGTTAGGTGACTAAAGTAAAGCATCTGAGCAAATACGGCCAATTATATCAGGGATGAAAATGACCTAGAGTATTCGTATCATACAATCATATTTCGGGTTAGCTAAACGAAATTTGAGTTGAACAATTGAACTTAAACTTACTGAAAATATTTACATAACTTTCTTTTTAAAACTTACAAAAGATAAGCGTATTAGTAAAGGCATAACGGTTAGGTCAACTTCTAGCCGTTCCATTTACGAACAACGAAAACCTTGCTACAACATAGTAGATTGAAAGGTTCTGTTTCGGGTAGCTAATAACAGAGGTGTTTACACCAATAATACTTCAATAAATGTTCAAAGATCTTTACAAATAAGTGAAAATATGTAATTTTTGTCAATTAAATAGATTACTCCAAAAGCTCTGTTTTTGTAACCTCGAAAATATTGCGTCCGGATATCGATCACACCCACAGTGTTTTTGCCATTTTTGTTCATTAGGACAGTTTTTGAGTTAAATGTTATATGAAAAACTAAAATTGTTAAGTGGCAACAAGACACTTTGATGTCAAATGCAAACGATTTATGTGAGAACATTTATATCTTTTCCAACAAATCAAGTATGCTGCGGGATTTACCCGATTTATGTGTGCAATTATAGAGTGAAGTGAGTTAATTTTTTTAGTTGATGTTACAAATGGGTATGTATTCCATCGGCACATGCGTGTATTACAATTGCACGGTTTGGCTAAACAACTTTAACGTAGTTTATTACTAAGTAATTTTTCAAATCAATCGTTTGAGTGGTCATGAGTTTACCAATAAATTAGCTGTCCTAAATACTTCTAAACTGCTAAGTCTTGAATACTAATTGTATGCATTTCTGTAATTGCGATAACAACAAGTATTTAATACTCACGATAATTTTTTTCATTTTTAGAATCAAGTAACAAACCGATATGTGGCATTTATTATAATAGATTTGTTATCATCCACTCTTAAATGCAGCAAAACTGTTACACGAGCTTTCTTTTATTATCCGTTAGATTTTAGAAAAAGTGTTAGCGAAATTTGATACTCGACGTTATTTTTCTAAAAGCATGCACATTGGATTTCGCTATCCAAATTTCGTCGTCTTATATAAATTTTTTTTTGTTCTTTGCTCTAAAGCTTAATATCTTGATAAGATATAGCAAAACCTAATTCCCAAAGGAAATTACTAAACCACTTTAGGCTTAGGGAAAATCAATTAACGCATCGCACTTAAATATTTTCATAGGTTATCGAGTAATTACGACCTTTTAAAGTGTTGAGCAAATTGTCAGATCGCAAAGTGATCCACTTATAAATACCATTCATTCGAAATGGCCAGCCGTCTTTTTGTTAGATAGCTAGATTGTATCTGAAGTTCCGTCTCACGGACATGCAGCACAACAGGTTTACGAAGACAATTAACAGTTTAACTGGTTTAATTTCGGTACTAAATTCGAGTCGTGGCTTTTTTAAAAAGAACCTTTTTTCCGTGTTTGCAAAGTCTGCCACTTTTCGCGCATAGTTGGCGCAAAATTAAATGTTTGTACAACTGAAATAATGTAGAATACTTGGGCCCTTATAGGAAAAAGACCGGTACAACAGAACAGGCCTTGTTGACCAGTCACAAGCCAGAGCCACACGTCAGGCGCCTTCCATCCGAGTCCACCACGCTGGCCACGCCACCCATTATATGCTGTACCTCAGTCATGACCTCTGGTTGGCTGCTTATCTTCCTCGCATGCCATTGGAACGCAGAGGGACACAGGATTGGCTGAGGCCAGGTGGTCCAACGTGTCTGCGCCCTAACCCGACGCCACACTGCCTCCCCCTTAGGAGTGAAGCTGTCCTCAGCTTCTGGCTTGGTCCATCGCACTGTTGTTGATTTCCAGTGTTGATAAGATATCCAGTTCGACACTTCCCGCACCCCACATCTGGCAGGATAGTGGCCCACGCGAATAGTTGACGAGGGACTTTGCTCTTGTAGACTTCCAGGAAGGACTCGTCATCCATCGAAGGTCCTTCGCAGATGCAGCTCAGCTGGCTTTTACTATCCAAGTCGTCGTCGCTGAGTTGCCAATGCCTCTTCAGATGCAGTAGTCCTAATCCCGGGCAATGTCTATGGATCCACTTTATTGGACATCGGATGAACGCCATGACAATTTCAGCTGGCATTCAAGGGCCTTTGCCTGTGTTGACCATCGAAGAGAAAGGGCTGGGGTTCGATTTGCGTTATTCGAACGCATCCGCTGCCACCAATGTAGAATACCCGAGCCCTAATAG